AAATTGGCAACCTGGCTGCAAAGTGTTCTCACTCACAAGGACTAGGATCCATTTCATCCATGATGGAGATAAGCAGCTGCTTGAAGAGGTCCTTTGGAGAGGACCACAGTATGTACATCCACATGGAAAGAACGGGGGACAGAGTAGTAAGTGCTCCATATACCATTTCCAGGAGTAAAGTAAGGCAAGAAAAGGTCACATTATACTTACACAGGAGCTCATGTGCTAACTGCAACTTCAAACTTCAGTGCTGCTCTCCTAGAAAACATGTCCCAGCTTAGACATTGAAAGACCACAAGAGGACACTATGGTGCTACTTACCTTCAAAATTTATTTATTTCAAGGAACTTCTGCTTCATTTGTAAAATTACTCATAACTATATCTGAATTGTGGAATAGCCATTTCTACAGAGATAACTTAATCTCATCTTTGGAGACTGAGAAGTCACTAGTTTTTGAGACAAAAATCAAGACCAGATTCAAAGAAGTTCTTGAAATACTGACACTCCAAAACACTCCAAGAAGGGTTATCTAGCATCACAGTCAGTCCTGAAAACAGTTCAGTATATCCACTAATATACTGCTCTGGATCTGCTACTTAAATCCAACAACTGTTAAGAGCAAACGAAAGTCACAGTTAGTGGGAAGAATCTTCTAGTTACTTATTTTTTTGCAGTTTAGACATTTTAAGAATTTGAAGCAATTTGATCATTTCCATATGTATAAATCCAGAGAAGAGTGAACAGAGGAGCTGCTGCTTTCAACAGCAAATGGAAGAAATCCATGCTGCTGCAGTCTGCTTTTCCCCTCCTCTAACACTTAACATGGTTAACCCAATCACTGACACTATCTGCAGGAAACCCACCACTTGAAGGAGGAAAACAGTCCTTTTTCAGCTGGATCAGCACCCTGAACCAGCTTACCATGTAGTTGCACAAACAGCAACCAGTGTTGTCACAAGGGAGACAACGTGCAGCCAAGAAACAGGGTGCAGCAGCCAAAGTTGGCACTGGCATAAACTGCTATGGCACTGCACCTTACTCCAGAAGGTGACAGAGACACAATGATACTTGGCTTTTCAAAGTTGGTTCTGTGGTGCAGATGCCCACTGAACCTTATGCTTAAGATCAAACAGATGTTAAAAAACTCATATTTATATAGGTGGTTAGACTTAATGCATGATATTTACTGACCTTGGAACGTAAAAATACGCTGGCATATTGCTTGAGCAGCTCAATGGTATGCAAGAAAGAACACAAATGTTAAAGCACCAGCAGAGTTCAGTAGTCCATATCCAATGTAAAACATGCAAAAGTCCTTCCATGGCCCACACAAGTCACCTACCAAGTGTAAGTTAGATACATGAACTGAACTACTCAGATTTTATGTGACAGCATGTTAGACCAGCAATAGACTTTTTAGGCTTGATTTCTAGCATGGCCACTTATCCAGATGAGACAGCTGAGAACTGAAGTTGTTTATATCTGTGGATGCCACAGCCCAATAGTCTGGAAAAGGGTAGTACTAGGGGAAGGGCACTAACATCAACTTGTAGAATCAAATCAATAGCTTCCATCAATATTCTATCTGTGGGTTTTGGCTGTTCCTATCACACATACGAAAGGATGAGCCTTGGATTGTACATCAATTTTGAGATTTACAGAAATAGTAATAATTATTTTCACAATTCATGGTAGTACAACTCATTATTTGGAAGAGGTAAATAATGACTTGCATTCTTCCATTTGGCAGCCAACAAGGCTTATGACAACATTGGTATCTCAATTATATCTGATACTTCCCTGATACCACTATAATAGAATCTGTCAGTTGAGCTGGCATGCATTTCAAATTACCAACACAAATTGCTCTTAATTGGCACAGGGCAAAGCCATTCAATTTCAGGATGAATCATTATCTCTGTTGAGAGGCTGAAATCAGAGTGCAACCATTTTATGCTTGAGCTGTTGGAAATGCAGTGTTGTGACTACTATACAAGCTGCTGTCAGTAGGATTGGAGACACTAGCACTCAGGAGGGTCACTATGGTTTTTCTGACAGCAGTCACAGCCATATCTTGAATGATTTTGCTTTTGAAATGGAATTCTAATGAGATGCCTTTCTACCATGTTTCAAGCTGTGTGATTTTGATTGTTTAGGAAAAGTAAACTAACTGCATCTATTAGAGAAGCTAGATACCGTGTGTATAATCATTGTGTGATGCACAAGATTTCATTTGTTGCTTGATGATTTTGTGCTCTGATGTTGGTTTCACACAAGCAGCTTATTGGAAGCATTCTGAATTAACATTTTAAGTAGTAATGGAAAAAGGGACTTCTAGATCATCACACATCTGTGAGAAATGCTGTGAAGTAGAGGTTATCCTAACCTTAGTGCAGGCAACCTATCAAGTTCCTCATAAGCCTTGTTCTTTATGACTTGACTTGCTTGACCAAGTGATGTGCTGCAGGTAACACTGTCATCATGGACTCAATGACTAGGTCACCCATGTCGCCTTTCCGTAGCCACTTGCTCAGACTTCTCTACAGTAATGGAGATGAGGCTTCATCTGAGTGAAGATGGGGCTGACTGCGAACATCCAGGATGCTCTGGGGTTAAACTTCTCTGACTTTCTCCTGCATGCCATGGGGGAGGCTGCCTTCCATGTGAAGAGCAGACCCAGAGGCCTCACGATACCCTGGCCTTCCTTCTGCAGTAGAGTTGCATGGTTCTTTCAGGGTTTCCTGGGATTCTGATCATGTAAATTGTTTTGTGAGATTACACCAGTATGTATACGAAATTTTAAACAATATTTTATTTCAATTTCATGTATATGTTTTGCCACAAGGTTAAAAATTATTAATTACAAAAAGCAGTCAAGTAAGTGCAATACACTATAGATAAAACAAAGAAATAACAAATATCTATAATAGGGCAAAATCAATCATATGAAAGTATGCTGCTGCTTTAAGAAAATTAATCTATTTTTAATCCATGCTGTAGTACAGTAAAAAGTAGAAATCAGTGGGCAGGAAAGTGACACCACAGTAGAAAGAAAAAGGCTGGAAGTAATAAGGAAGCATCTTACATTCCAAATATGTAATAAAGTTACTATCGTAGTACTAATCCTGTGAAAAGAGACCATGGATGGCAGTTTTCCAATGGCTTATAAAGCTATTAGCAAAAGTACTGTTGGGAAGTAAATACGTGACCTACTGAATTCATCATTTTAACAATAAAACAAGTTCTGATGCCAGTCAAGCAATATCGAGGTCAGTGCAGTAATTCCCCATTGTGGGTGCATAAGCAGGATCAGTATTTATTGAGAAACTGTTCTGAAAAACTTGGCTTATATGCAACTAGAATTATTCAACACACTTTGTAAAGAATTCAGTAACCGGCAGTAGTATATTCAGAAAATACTTATCAAGGAGACCACCTTGTCAAGAGAATTAATGAAGCTTCATTTTGAAGCAATAAAAGAACAATGTTCTTCCAGAAACCCTGTTGTACATGGAGTGCGTAAATGGATGGCAGGAGCAGTCACAAGTGAGACCATGACAGAAAGCAACTGACTTGCTGTTTCCATTCTGTTCATGCTTGGCCTTGTCTTTCAGTTGTTAAATACTTTGTGTGTTTACAGATGCTGTCCTTAGATCAATTACATGACTTCTTTTTTATTCTACACTAAGGCTAAATTCTGTAGATGTCATATCAGTAAATAAAGCACATAACATGATATAAAAATCACAATTAACAAGTATCATGAGAAGATATTTACCAGTGAGCACTGGGAAATGACCCTACAAAGAGGTAGTGCTGCCATCTTGCAATTTCATCATGAATTTCGGGAAACTTGATTAAAATTCCAGGTTTGAGCCATATTAGCCTACCAAGAATAGGCCATTTACAATATATCTTCTTCTGTATAACAGTAGCTTCAAACCTCACATACCTTGTGTATATGTAAACGTGTTCCAAAGACTGAAACAGCAGAAGATTTATAATAAAAATATTTCTTTCTAATCTCATGCCTATGAATCCTTTGACAGTGGTCTGATTTTAGCCAGCTAGAATAAAAATAAAATAATAAAACCTGTCATTGATAAGGATCGTTGTTTAAATGTGAAAAAGATTTCCTCAAAGCTGTGGAACACTCTAACAAAATTTTTATTTACTATACTTTTATTTATTATACTTTTCAGAATGCAATAAAAATATCAGAACAAGATCTCACTCTTGGAGTAGCCAGAATTCCTGCTTTGTCATGGCTTATTCTTGCTCCCTTGTTCATGAACATGCAGCAAACAGCAGTCCCCAAATTACAGACAAGAGTCTACAGCATTGCCTGTCGCTTGCACCTGAATGCAAGACATCTACCTCTACCCTTTGGAAACTCCCCAGTTGCCCACTGGCCCAGTCAGGGTTCAGAAATAAGAGTTTAGCATTGCAGGATGGATCTCTAAAGCCAGTGGTGGGCATGAAATACAAATTCATGAAGCCACGTCATCCATCTTGTCTTGAAAAACAAAAACCTACTCTTCTACATAGACCAGGGAATGGTCTGCTCTGACTAAACCATTAACTGATGATTAAAGGTGTCTGACTGAACAAGAAGTAATACGTGAAAACACCTCAGCACAGCTGACAATCATGTTCTGTAGCTTCTTTGTGGCACTGCTGATTCTGGACTCCAGTATTTATACCAAGTGCCACAACATGGTTACCAAAATCATGTGTGCCATGTATGAGAGAATTTATTCATTAGGTGTGAATACTTTCCCTTAACAATGTTCCTCCTGGTTTAGCCAATGTGACACAGTATTTATCACTTCAAGTTCTAAATGCTTTTGCTACAACATTTAAAATCTACATGGACTTTCAAATATGCAGGTGAATTTACAGAAATTATATTAAAAAAATTAGCATAGCTTCACATTAACTAAACTCAAAAAAAAGCTAACTAGCTGCATTGCAGAATACTCCATATATCTCTCTCTAGACTCCATAGGTCTTACCATTCATAATACAGTATTAAATACGATACCATTACAACCATCAGACTAAAAGGTTGTGCCACAGAATAAAATCCAAAGGACTTGGTTGTCTGAAGCTGATGATTGTGTAGGTCTAGGCGACAGGAATTTTGTACTTCTTTCTGTGGAATTTCACTTTCACCTGCATCCATTAGTCCACTAATGCTCCGCACCTAGGAAAATTCAAAAGGTTGCCCCTGAAACCAGGCTAGCACAACAGCAAAAAGCTCTATGTAGCTAACAAGTTCAGTGCTATTTCAAGTGAAACAACTAAATCTGTATTGCAAAACCACATCTGAACGTGGGGAAATAAGCATAATTATCCTGATATTTGCTTTGTTAGTAAACATTTCTCAGAATTCAGTACAGATACATTACAGGCAAGAGTCATAGGTCTGGCTGTTCTTTGACTTGGCCTCCTCTACATATGGATGCATTAGCTGGAAAACCTTAAACAAACTAACTCATGAGCTTTCTTCCCTGAAGTCACCTCACAGTCTCAAGACAGAGCTTCAAACATCTCTAATATAGAAGGAAATAATTGTATAAATCTCACAGACCATTCAGGTATGATGAACTGCAACCTCTTCATATTGTCATAAGTTCGTAAGTCTGCTACACATGCAACTCTGCATCGGGTAGATATTTTGGCAGATTAACTGGAACAGTATGAAATTATCTGATTTTTGTTCATGTAGCATACCCCAAAAAGGCAACTGGAAAAAAAGACTACTGTGAAATATATGTTGTCTATAAGGCTTTGCATATAAAATCTACTTACTTATCCCTGTAAATAAAAACAGTAGGAGGGAAGCAGTTTGCAAGTTTCAACAGAGGCTTCTGAAAAAGTTACCATTTAGCGGTCCTGACTCTCATAGTCTCTCTCCTTCCCTCCTCTCATCCCTCATTCTGCTGGATTAACTACTACCACTTACACTTAAAGCTAGTTGTGATCTAGTTGTTATGTTTATGGCTTTTGAGCGATCTGGTCATGGCAGGAGCCTTTTGGATAGCAGTCCAATCCCATGACAAGAATTAAAGTGATTTGCAGGAGTCAGCATTACCTTACTGCACCAGCGAACACAGCCAGACTGTGATGCTGTACATCCACAGTTTCTCCCGACCATGAAGTAATTCTATTTAGAAGTCAGTCATGTGTACTTAACAGATTACCACAGAGAGAAAAAGTTCCACAAGGCTCTGTCCACTCTCTCTCCCTTTCCTTTATTCTGCTAACATTCTCTTCCCATCTTGGTTTCTTTCCCAGCATTTGGAATTATTGCATTAAGTGCTTACATGCCCTTATAGCTCTCTCATTGAGAGAAAAAAAAAGAGAGCGAGCAAGATAAAGCAGTAAG